ACTATCACCAATGATCTTCCTGATTGCAATTGATTGGATAATGCGACAGACAACGGCAACCAACGAGGGAACAGGCATAAAATGGACTGACACAAAAGACTTGGAGGATCTGGATTTCGCCGATGATATATGTCTGATTTCCCATAAACTGGAAGATATGCAAGTGAAAAGTAACAAGTTGGCAGAAGAAGCATCAAAGATAGGACTTCACGTGAACATAGATAAAACAGAGATGATGAAGATTCCTAGCCAACATCAACAACAACAACAGACCACAATAAGCATAAATGGGAAGAACCTGAAAGAAACAACCTCCTTCACCTACCTGGGAAGCATCGTCTCAACTACAGGCGGAACTGACGAGGACATCAAAGCCAGAATCGGAAAAGCAAGACAAGCTTTCATTACTCTCAAATCTGTGTGGAGGTCAACAGCACTCAGCATCAAAAATAAGATCCGGATTTTCAACTCCAATGTGAAGTCAGTGCTACTATACGGATCAGAGACTTGGCGAGTCATAAAGAGCATCTCAAACAAACTTCAAACCTTCATTAACAACTGTCTCCGCTCAATACTCAAGATCAGATGGCCAGAAAAGATCAGCAACAGGGATCTCTGGGAGCGAACCAATCAGGAACCGATTGTGAAACAAATAGGCAGAAAGAAATGGAGATGGATTGGCCATACGCTGAGGAAACCATCAAGTGACATCACTAGACAAGCCCTCGAGTGGAACCCGAAAGGGAGGCGGCGAGTTGGTCGTCCAAGGGTGACTTGGAGGAGGTCATGCGAGGAGGAGATGAAAGCATGTGGACAGACCTGGAGCAGGGTGAAAAAGTTGTCAGAAAACCGAAGTCAATGGAGGTGCGCAGCTGAAGCCCTATGTTCCTCTAGGAACTAAAGGATACAATAATAATAATCTAATATCATCAAATCAATGTGCACGGTGATGGCGAGCTAACTAGTGGAATGGCGGGCACATTGCAAGCCTGACTAACAGAATTCAGTCTGCACCAAACAGAGGACTAGACACATCACACTAGTTACTAGTATCCAATCAAAAATCAGTTCTCTTTCGTGATAAAGCCTAATCACATTATCTTAAAGCAATTTTTAGACATTTGTACTTGACATGAAATAAAAACAACGCTATGAGTAAAATAATTCGGAGTAATTGTGTTCAATCTGTGAATAAATGGTGCATAAATGCTCTTCTGGCATTAAAGCCTGTAAACCAGTAGAATAAATGTTGAGGAAATAATACTCTAATATGCTGCAAAAAGAGGCCTCAGTTTTCCATACGAGTGGCCATAGTAAACAAACAAGTAGCCGTATGAGTAACAGTTATACGATACACTAACTCTGATGAATGATTGACTCTGTGATGAATATAACCTAACAATGATAGTCACACTGCTTAACATTTCAAATTGATGCTCCCTATAATCATCGTTGCAAGTACCACTCTAACTCTAAACGTTGTTGTAAATTTCACCCTGAACTTAACCACAACTCTACCTTAACCCAACCCTAACCCTAAGTGTTTTTCAGAGTGAAAATGGCAGCGAAGATTCCGACAAGCATTAATCTATGATACTGAACGGTAGGATTGGTTGGTCCAAGGTCATTTGGCTGTGGTATCTATTCTTTACTCATGTTCATGAAGGTAACTGCTATACGTTTTTAACAGGTTATTTCGACAACTGAACTGAAGAATTATAGATGTGGCATTGGAAGAATGGAATCCCAGCTAAATATCTCTTGATGATTGTAATGAACACTTTCATTTCAGGTAAGTCGAATGAAGAAATGAGCCCAAACCGTTTATGCAGTGTGCAGCGTCAAATCATCGTGAATAATGGCATATTTCTACATTGTTGCTTAACAGCTGTGGGTATTTCTAACTATATGTATTTTGTTGATAAATTTACAGATGCTTTGGTCTCCTCAAAAATTTGACATCTTTACTAATTAAACTTCTGAGTCAGATATCAGGCTTGATCACAAAGCACTAAGATTTAGAGAAATGTCAAAATGCGTAGAGAAACCACGATGTAGCTGAGCAGAGCACTAATCCATGAACAGTGTCATCGTCTTCTCGAGTTCTTACAGCCACAGTGGATATATAGATGCTTGGAATCTGCTGAAATTATATCTGGAACATTCTTGCTTCATTGTCATTAATGCTGGTGTACAGGAACTGGCTAAATAACGAAGTTGCCCGGTGTTCAGGTGAGAAGTCATGGTCAATGGGGCCATCAGGTGTGGTGAGGGAAAAAATACTCGCCGGTAACATTGGCTGGTAGTCGGGCTAGAATTCACAGGCCACTGAGTCTGATCACAGGGGCCGAATGGTCTACGGGCTTGCCTTGTAACTGGAAGGTCCTGGGTTCGAATCTATTTGAGTGTGTCTGCTGAAGGTCTCCAGTTTAGGATGAGGGAGGTGTCCAGTATTCCTCGGTTATCAGTGTTTCTCTAACTGACATCAATCTGTGGTCGAACCTGAATAATTGGGACGATAAACTCAGTAGAATCCGACTGCTGAGCATTCCTGCTTTTAATCAAAACGAAAAACTTATTGTCCCTTTCGTCTCTGATGTAATGAGAAATATCTACTCAACACGATTTGCCTTCGTGTGTGTGTGTGTGTGTGTGCGTGCGTAAGTGTCTCAGATTTGTGAATATTGAGCTTATGCATGTGAATTGATGCAATCACGATATTATGAAAACAGGTTAACACAACTTCGTTTCTCAGTGTTGCTTTTTTGTTGAAAATTGAATTATTCACCTACACATTTCCCTTCTGAATAGAAAAAAAAGCACGTTCTGACGGGAGTGATTTTATTATTGTTAATTACATTGAGTGCATTGTTATGAACGTATTCATTTTTCTGTCTTGTGTCTACTACCTACGTGAATGCTCAATCAATTTAAGTAGTATTCAAATGTAAAAATGAATACATAGAATTTGATTTCCTGATGCATATTTTAAAAAAAAATGTTTACTGATGTGTTTTTTTTAAGGTAGACATTTGTTTTGGCTCTTTCTTCTCTCTCCCTAATGCTTCTTATGATTAATCTACTTTAGAAATCCTCGTCTGTTCAAGTACAGAACTTATGAAAAGCCTGGGGTTATATGACTCGAATGTACCTTAGGCATTCAGAATTGTTTAAAGGACTGAGAATTTTATTTTATTTTTTTTAATTTCGTTAGTATAAGTCAAGTAAAGTTATGTGACGTCACAGTAACAAAACAAAATAGGCGACAACAAATAAACACGGATGCTAACACTACCCAATAACAGATTGTGTCATTGGAAATGCATCAAGAGGGCTTAGATGAATGGTAGTTGTGTTTACGAAAAGCTGAGCTGGAGAATATCAACAATATTTCCGGAATTTTAGAGATGGATTTGTAGCTCAGGTGGGTGATTTAGAATTAGTTGTGTTGTTTAACAAAGCAAGAACCAATCGCCCAACAAATATGCAGGAGAAAGTGTAGATGAATCGGACACTCGCTGAGGAGACCACTGGGTGACATTGCGCGTCAAGCCCTCGAGTTGAAGCAGTTGAAGCCCTATGTTCCACTAGGAACCCAAGGGAGCAATAATAATCTAAGTTGTTTGGTTTAATTGTAAAGCTTTCGTCGTCCCTATTCTAGACAAAATATTCAGCGCAAGTTTTAGCATAAAGCGAACTGATTTAAATTCTCCATAAATGATAGAATTGCGTCTTCGAGTAACCATCTTTGTGAATGGTAGTCGATTTACATCCTTATGGACTTGGATTTTGAACTTTCTTGTCACGTAATGATTTGCTTTCTATTAGTTTGGTAGATTTGGTTTATATTAACATGTTTGTTAATCGCATATTCGCTTAAGTATCAGGCTTCAAGGAATTCTCTGGCACTTTTGATGTTTCCTCTGTTTAAATTTCGACACTATTCGAATTAAATTGATGTCCATAATTATCTACATGCATTGATATGAAAGAATATATATCATGTCTTTTTACCGCTAATTTGTGTTCTTGGATTGTGATTCGAAGAGGACGCCCATTTTGGTCAATGTAATTTCTGTTACAGTTCATACAATTTATTTTGTAAATGGTATTAATTTTATCTTTTTGCCCGTTGGATCTTTCGGTTTGCACAATATCGAATGAAGTGATTGGGCTGGCTTGTATGCTATATCTATTTCAAATGGTCTCAATATTCCAGCTGTAATTTTAGAGATAGCAAGCCTATTCGTGAAAACTATGTACTACTGGTTCGATTCAAATGAATAGTTTTACATCGCTCACATCAACTAGTATCGCTTGCCAGCCAACCAAATCGAAGGGATCTAAACACCGGACTGCTCTTAAACCCGTGTGGAGCCGATCTCATCAGTGGTGTGCCCTGAAATGTGATAAGATTTGCGTATTGATAATTCCATTTATGCAATCACTGGTTCGCTTGACTAGTTACTCAGACGTACAATGGTTAGAACTTATTCAGCCGTTTGAGTTGAGTCTAATTGAGTACAATGCTAACGAGAGAAATGGCAGTCCGGTGTATAGATCGCTTCTTTTACCTGGCTAGTAGGTCCTACTGGTTGATGTCAGTAATATATATATATATATATATATATATATATATAACTATCCATCCCAATCAGTCAGCAGTACATAGTTCTAAGTGATTCGCTTGTCTGCTCTGTCTAATTTTGCTTTCTTTCTCATGATCCATGGGAACAACTTAGATCACTAAACGAGAGTACTAGATGAATAATGGCTGAAACATAACATAAGGATTTCTATAATAAGAATAATTTTGGCACTCCTAGCGTCAGTGGTAAATCTTGGCGATCATTTGAATGTTTAGCAAATGACTGATATTTTCTGCCGCCTAATATGATATAAAATAAATCGGTAAAATGGTGTTTGATGAAGGTGAAAAAGATTATTTTGCATTAGAAGACATTCATTATCTACCACTATTCATACTGCGTTGGACTTACTCTCATAAACTCAACACTTGAGTCTAAAGGATTATCTCGGTGGAACAGAAGTAGAAAATTTTCTTCAGTTGGCAATATTTTCGCCATCTATACAATCAAAAACAAAAAGAGAGTAAACGGAACCAATAACAAAGTAATAATAAGCTGAAGAGTTTTAAATTCAGTATTTTTTCCGCCAACTCTTCCGTTTGAATAATATGCAAATATGGTAACACATATATACGTATGTATATATAAATTGATTTCAAATATTTTGTTTTATTGTAGTCAGTTCGACAAAAGTGCGTCAGTTGAACATATTGAATGCCCATCGCTTACAATGAGTAAAATGGACACAGTCTCTTCATGCCTCAAAATATCCCTCGAGATTAGATAGAAATGCTGTTGACTGGGGAATTTTCTAAAACTTCAGAATATTTAATTAGACAGCTAACGTAAATGCAGTTTCTACGATTTTACACCAGGAATAATATGTCATGACGAAAGCGTTGCGGTTATTATTATTATTAGTGGTGGTCTGTGAAAGATGCTAATGCAATTTCCAACGGAAGTCCACTGCCTTGAGTATTTGTGTTTATTAGACTTAAGATTAGAACGTCTTCTTGAAATGCATACATCTGCATAGAGTCCCTGATTATGGTCGTTAGATTAAAAGTCGTTAGTGTTGTTTTTACGCTTTTAAACTAGAAGACTTGGGCCACAAGAGCCACCACCTCTTGTTCAACGGGTATCGGTTATTATGGGCACGGAGTTCGAGCCTCCGTTGGAGCACTATTAGCCACTGGGGAATGCAACTACATCCAGGTGGCGAGTCTCAAATGGGACGAAATGCGTGTCCTGTATTCCACTGTCGGTCACCACCCACGGAATAACTGGACAAACAGTTCTCAGGATGGGGTTAAAAGTTCCAACTTCATGGAAATGAATTTTAAATCTCCTTGTTTAAGAAATAAAATCGACAGTGTATAAGCGAAAATACAGCCTAATGTTTAGGCCATCTTACTTCAAGCAGGATGAAGTATTACACACTGTTATGGCGCTCCTACTAATCATGTCGGCCAGTAATATACGTCGTATTCATTGGGCTGCTTTAACAAAACACATTATTTTTCCTCTGAACTTCGACTGCAACATAGGGTTCTAAGAGCACATCTTTATTTCACTCTGTTCTTTAGAGGACTGAACTATTACCCAAACTCATTTACTTCCTCACTATACGATTTCATCTATTTCATTCTCAGACCAAGCCTCACCTGCTCTTTCCCATTCGGGTTCTCCTCAAGGACCTGACACACGATATCGCCCAACAATGTCTTCAGTGTATGTCCAATCCAACTGTATTTCCTTCTGCATATTTGTTGGGTGATAGGCTCTTGGTTGGTTACTGATGAGTTCTTGTGGCTTATCCTTTCTGTTCATCCAATCTTCATTATTGATAGAAGTTTGCAGCAAGTTGTAAATGTTTTATGTGGAAGGTCAACTTGAGATAAATTAAGTGGATCATTTGCAAGCTAAACACATGGAGGTGGTAGGTCCACGCAATTCCCTTTCGTAACCGCGGATCACAATATGTGATCCTTACGAAGAAAGAAAACAAAATAGAGTGAACTACTTACTATTAATTACGTGATATAATTAATTGATGACCAATTACGTTGACTGTTTATGATCGTTAGCTAGGTCGAAATGACCTAGACACTGGTTTGATAACCAGCCCACCTCCAATGTACGCAATTAGACTGAGCTCAAACAGTCGAGTCAGGCGATTTCAGGTCTTGAATAGAGTAATGTATGAATGAAAGATATGAGATTCTGTGAATAGCTGGTGATTGCCTAAGTAGCTAGCTAGAATGGCGTGGTTTGATTTTATTCAGCTGTGTGTAAGCTGAATCAGACCGGGTAAACTGCTGATGAACTCGGCCCCTAAGGAGCAAATTAGCCGTGGACTGTTCAATCAACCTGGCAAGCATTACTGTCTGGTGAACGTGCTATTCAGATATTCGTATCATTCACTTGAATATAATATCGTCTTATCTTGGATTAAATTAGTTGAAACAACTCACGGCTCACTACAGGATAGTTCTAGGGACTCAAGAAGGACAGAAAATATTATTTATATTCCAGTTTTTCGTTGTTTTTGGGCCAACTAGTGAGTAAATAAAACTACACATGTGACTAGTTTCCTGATTTTCACAAACAATGTGAAGAATTGAATATTTGCATATCTGCATATTCCTGAAGACAACTTTCAACTGATCAACAACACTACTGTTGGGAAAACATGAAGTTTGCCTACACCGGAGGCATAACACTCCTAACACCCTTTATTCAAAATAATAAATTTGACATTTCCTGTTTAGCAGAAATACAAAATCAACTGAATTACGATATGTTCAGAGATTTCGAGTAGTTAAATTCTACTTCAGGGTTAAAGCATACCTACATGATCAAAACAAGCATCATCAATAATCTGATTGACGCAAAAACACATGTAGCTGTGCGGTCACTTTTTAAGTACAATATTCCGGATTTCATATAAAAATGTTCTGAACACAATTCATTGTTGGATGGATAAAATACAAGGAAAGAATGCCATAGAATCAACATGTCGCCGTAACTTACTTCAGTCAGTTCAATTCGATTATCAGAATTCTCATCGAATGCCTCCATAAATTCCTTTTTCATAACTTCAAGGTCTTCATTCGGTATTGCCTTAACAGAAAAGAGGAAGAAAGGAAAGTGGTACTGAGCAGCTGGAAAGCAAACATGATAAAGTGTATAAAGTGAATCTTTCATTATCGTTCGATGTACTTCCCCAACAAAAGTGTTCACTTCCTGTTCAGTAAAAACTCATGTTCACTTCTAAGTGACACGTAAAAGTATTAGCATGTGGTCCGCGGTTCGATCCTCAGCCAATACACTGCTCTACTTCTCTAAGGCAGTTATACGACTGGGAAAGACAAAAGGTTTGAGATGAGGCTAGCAGTCCCATCCCTTAAAAATAAATACCATTGCTATTGAAACTTCAAGCCTCTAGCTTGAAGCTCTATGTTCTACTCAGAACGTAAGGGAATAAAAGAGCCATACTCTCTTTCCCTTCTCAGTAAGTCGGAACACCTTGGAGCCATAGTAGGAGAGTTCAAAATCCAAGGAGAAACCATATTGTTGTGAAGTACTGATTCTCACACTGAGACATAACTCCTATAACTAACTCTCTCAGAAAAAGTGGTGTCAGCTCCCTCAACTGACTCATTCAAGAGGGGTTTGGACAAGCACAGAAATTTACTAGAAAAGTATTAACATTCATCCGCAAGCCTTCTATCCTCAAACAAAAAATCTGAATCTAAATTCCTACGTTCTAATAATCAACTTCACCTCTACTAGTCTGACCTGTGTAATTAACCTCACCAGCATTACATGATATCGACTACCTAAGGGGACGAATTCTGTCTCTGAGTGAGTTGTTTTGTTTAAATGCCATCCTAATTCTATACCTAGTGAAAGACCTATGTAGAGAGTCTGATGTTCCTTATTTATATGGAAGTATTACAGGGGTTATGAATTCCCTGCTACTTATGTTATTTCTTTTTTTTCATTTCTATTGCTAATCCTATTTCTCATGAATCTCCATACATTTTAGTGGGTATTCGTCTGATGTCAATGTTTAAACCTTCTGGCCTACCAGTAAGTCTCTCGGTTCGATTACACAGACATCTAACTAAACCTCCCTTTACAGATTCTGGATGGAATCAATTACTCTGAGTATTTACTACAATGTATCGAGTTTCGCATAATTCCCCTATCTTGTATTCGGCTAATTTACCAATCTAACATGGCCAACTCACCCTGTTCGTTTTCTAACTCAGAATTGAACTGAATTCCGTCTACTACTGAGTTTGTATGTACGAAAAACTGAGGGATATGTTCAGATTTCAAGACAGTGAATGTGTCATCCACATATCTCCACCATAACCTTGTAGCAGAATTAAACGTTCTAAAAATATTCTTCTATGAATATTTCTGCTTCAACTAGGTATTGTGGTGATCCCACTGCTACCTAAATTGTTTATTTTTATATTTTGTATTTGAAATTCAAATACATTTGAGGTCAAGCATAGCTGAACACTGTTCAGCGCATTCTACCACAGTGCCCAGAATTCTACCCTTATATTAGGGTTGTTGTTATTTATTTACTAATCAGAAATGGAGAATGAGAATTTCGGAATTCAGAGATAACTTGAAATGACAATAATGTTACTCTGATCAGAACGATTTTGAAGTCCACTGAGAAAACAACAGCTGAATAAGCTCGAATAAGCTGGTATTGAACGCTGGGTATATCCTTGGGGCAGTGATTTTTAGACAATCATTGATGCTTAAGTGTCTACGAGCTCGCTTGTCATGTAACCAGAAGATCTTAGGTTCAAATCCTGGCTGTGGGTGTGTACTGATGAACAGGCTTAAACTAGGACGGAACAGTTGTCTGTCAGTGCTCCCAGGTTTTCCAATGATTCTCCAACCGATTTTAGTTCATGATTAGATCCTAAAATCATTGATACATTCATATATATTTTTTGAAACGACAATTTGTCGGCGATGTTTCTTTGGATTGGAATGATTTGATGTGAATCAACTAGTAGTGAGATCGTTGACTTCTGAGCTTAACAACAAAATGAACATTTTCAAAGATTTGACATTAGAATTACAAATTTTTGATGATGTACGAAGGAGAAAAAAGGTCCCACCCGCCAGAAGCTCTATTATGGAACAACTGATCGAATCAGGACACCAAGAATGAACCCACAAAGTAACTGAATTATCATCTACAGAATAAGTGAGAATCTTGTCAAAAGAATAAGAAACAAACTTGTTAAAACCTCAGAAGCAATGATAATTCACATATTAAAGCCTGAACTCTGCATACAGAAGAAGTAGTTGGTTCAGTCATTAAATCTACAGTAGACCTGTGACCTATCTTAACACCAAATATACAATTTTTGTTCCGTCTTTTTCTTGCTTGTTTGCTTCTTAATTGGACGAAGGATTTCATCATGAGCTGAAATCAGTTTAGAGAACCACTGGAAAACCAGCTGGGAGTACTGGACAGCTGTTTCGTCAGTCCAGTTTGGGACTCTTCATTAGTATGCAGCCACCAGGGATATTTAATTGTATAATATTTTCTTCTCCCACACCTTATTAAATCTCCACCCCTTATTACCACTGTTGTCAACTTGACTTTTACTCAGTTTTAATTTTAACTGAGCTCTATTCAACACTGGTCAATTAGTTTACGTTACTCAACCTGCTTACTTAATCTTATTTTAACTTCTAACCATTTAGCAAAATTTGTTGTCTGCAATGTACAATTCTAATGACACATTTTTGAAAATATTCATTTTGTATCTAAGAGAAAATTTACTATAATTATGCGACTGTACGGTTTGAGAATAATATCACCGAAAAGAGGAGTAACTCTTTGCCTTTTCTTTTTTATGATTCAGTGTGAATTTTTAAGTTAAAAAAAAACTTCACGGCATAGCGCGACCGCTAGCCAATGTCTTTGGCGAGTATTTGTCCTCACACCCAACCCGCTGCACCCTACTGGTCACGACTTCCCACTGGAACCCAGGTAACTACCTACCTGAATACGGCCAGTCGCCAGTGAGCATCTCATTGGTATTCAAGTGTTGGTTTGTAGGGATGTCTAACTAATGTCAGCTTATGATGAAATCCTGAAACCAATCTTTCCAGTAGGGTGCAGCGGGTCGGGTGTGAGGACAAATACTCGCCACCGAATACATTGGCTACCGGTCGCGCTATGTCGTGAATTGGTGAAGTTAGAATTCAAGGACCACTGGAACGGGTGCGAGTGGCTTAAAGGTATACGAGCTCGCCTTGTAACCAAAAGGTCCTGGGTTCAAATCCCGGTGGATGCATACTGCTGAAGAGTCCCAAACTAGGATGAAACAGCCGTCTAGTACTCCCTGCAGGTTTTCCAATGGTTCTCTAACTAGTTTAGGCTCATGATGAAATCCTGAAACAAATCAAATCCCTGCAAACCGACACTTAAAAAAAATTAACTATTAAATAGACCGCAGATGAATGAGTTTTAGTAATCCTACATGTATAGTTAACGTTGGTTTTTATTATTATTAATATTATTATTATAAGCGACAACTTAACATTTCCTAAAATTATTCCAGACCGCTTTCACTGTGTTACTTGTTATGTATGTAGATTTATGAAGGCTTCTCTCTCTTCTTTGACTGCCTTAAATAATTCATTTTTTTTGGAATTTTTTTCTTTTGTTTCTGTCCATTTTTTTGAGTCATGCTTACTGAAGTATGACACAGATACAGCTGACTTTTCAGCCTTTGGATCGCTTGAGTACACACTTATGTAGTAGAGTGCAACACGTTTTGTCAATCCTGTTATAAACTTTTTTGTCAGCTGTAAAAGTGATTCAGTTGACATACACTCCCTAAAAATGAAAAAAAGTCATTTTTGTACAGTTTCATTTATTAGTCTAATCTAATTTTATATTATATAACCCTACTTAATCTAATGCTGAATAAACGCTAAACGTCAAACTGAAAAAACACTCTTATGCATACACTGAGATGAAGTTATGTTATTCTAATTAGTTTTTTTTTTTGTATTATTCCAGAACGTGTTTTTTTCTACACTCTATTGCAGATAATATTAACTAAGGCCGAAATTATGACGTCATTTCAGTCATTATGCGCAGTGTCAAACACAGTGTCACAAATTCACCATGAAATTTTGTTTTACTTCACTGGTTAATGGCTATGTGTTCAGTGTATATATATTCGTTGTCATTGGTAACTATATTTGTGTATTATAAGAAAAAAATACATCTACCTATCATGAGAATTTGTCAAAACTTAAAAAAAAAGGAAACTTGAAAATTTGGGAAAAAAAGTTGCCAAAAGAATGAAAAAGAAAATATCCTTGATATAATTTTATTCTCAACTAATGCAAAAAAACAAAACGTCTCGTTTTTACTGTAGAACCTTTCGATTGTGTAAACCATCTGACTGTCTGAATGGATGAAATTTCTAAGAATTTATAATCAGGTAATCTTGTCACTGATTCTGTGGAGTACTTTATCATCATCATCATCATCATCAATTCTTTAGAGTGAACGTCAATATTCTGATGGATTTTACGGAGTGGTACTGCACTAGTCACCGGCTTTATACAGAAGGGGACTGGGAGTTTAGGTGAGCAAGCTGTGGTCTGCAAGGTCCACTAAGTCAGGTAAGAGGAGGACAGTTACTTTCTGATGCCACTGGCTTGTGGAATTCATGGCCTGGCCATTGGATTCGGTCCCATTGGCTTAATAGTCTACAAGCTCGCCTTGTAATCGTAAAGTCCTAGGTTCACTACTGTGAAGAGTCCCAAACTAGAACGAAACAGTTGTCCAGTATTCTCTATTGATTTTCCAACTGGTGTCAACTCGTTATCAAAGCTGTAACTAATCATATCCCTGCAAACCAACAGTTAATCCAAATGTTTATATCAAAGAAAATCCGGAAGATTACTAGTGAAATATTTTTTTTTGCATGCAGTTCAGTCGATATTGTTTTCTATGCAAAAGAAGTACATCAATGAAAGTAGGGATTTATTGAAATGAGAATGAAGAATTTGGTGTTATGTTCTGATCGTTAGTGATAAAACTGTCCACTACTTTTAAACTATATTTCTGTTTAACACTCAATCTAAGAATGCAGAGCTATAAATGCTTACTGCGACTTGAGCTTACATAAATTTCATTTTCATGAATGCATATGATTTATGCTACTCACTGTGTTGACTTGCTTTATTATGCATCCACCTACAGGAGCTTTCTATGGATGGACAAATCGGATGAACAAATCGTTGTATCAACATTTTATCCTGCTGATTTGTATTTGCCTCTTATCTCCTTTATACATCTTCAGTTTCACGTATATGAGACTTTATGTCTGAATATAGATCATACACTAACTACCTAATCTTAATTCATCTGTGTTGTGGATGACATAAGAGTGTTGTTACTTTTGGGAAATAACTCGATTAATACATTGAGTTATTATGATAATCTGACGTCCGTATGTTGGTTTGCTGGGGATTTTCGATCGATGTCAAGTTCATTTCCTAGCGAATTCACATGAGTTAGAAAGTTAAGGAGAAGTGGCATATTTATAGTCCCAGTTTTGGTTTGTTCTCCAATACCCGAAAAAAGTCCTTATCAATTTCATAAAGACATACAAAACATTAGAATTCCTGAGATATTAAATTTTAAATCCATAGCTGAATTTTGTACTGCTGCCTAAAATGGATTAAATTTCTGTTGCTGACTGTTTCAGTTAATCGAATGAAGAGCAAAGTGTTTAGCAAAGAGTCATATATTCGATGAATTCATTCACTTGCTGTGCACAGTCACAGTTTAACATGAATTAGGGTTGGGATGGAAAACCATGATTTATGTACACAAAAGAAAATCCTCCATGCCCACCTATTTCCTTGAGTATAATTCCAAGCTCAACCATTGTCAATATTTCTTTGTTATTACTACTTTGTGCACTTTCTGTATGACATTAGTTAAAAAATCATTTTCATTGACTAAGCTTCACCTAGTACATAATTGATTTTAATACTTGTCTCATGGCATGTCGTTATATTAACATTTTCCATACCGTACAACGGTAGTCTAGCATTAGTTGTCTTCATTCCCCTAATTACGATTTGACCATCCATAACTGTTTGGAAATATTTTGATCATGTAAACAATACTCTGAACTAGTTTTTACTCCTTTTCTATGCACACACAGGCATACAAAAATTATATATATATGTAGTCGGGGCCGAAGGGAGACTCTTAGCTGTACTAGTTGTTCTCATTTTCATGATTAGATGGGTGCATTTCCTAAATTCTTCAGTTTGGTCGTAAAGCAGCTTTTCACCTACAAATCGCCTATGCGTCCTGCTTACTGCAGTACCAAAATGTAATTAAATTATTGCAGAGAAATAAACATACTGAGAGAGAAAAAGTTCACTAGTTGCATCTCATCTTTTCAAGGCAGAAAACTCGAACATTTAGAAGAGAATCAAAGCAACATATACCTGTTTTTCCGAAGTGCAAGCTGTTGGAAATAAACTAATTTTTGAAAGTGTTACAGAATAAAAATCCGCTTGCCTTTGATGTATCACATGACTGGTGCATATTTCTTACACTGAATAATTTAAACTGTTGAGGTATGCCCACACGTCGGTGGTATAGCGGTTAGGACGCTCGCCGACTATGCACATGGTCCGGGGTTCGATACCCGGCTACTGGATGCACTCCTTTGCCTCGTTAAGCCAGAAAAAAAGTGCTCGTAAAGAGGAAAGGTTGGTAATGAGGCTAGCAACCCCATCCTGTAAAATTAAACACTTCTACAGAAACCTCAAGCCCCTATGTTCCACTGGGGAACGTGAAGGAAAAAATTTGAGGCATGCCCTACTGAAAATATTTGTCAGCAGTATATTAAAGGCGCTTTATCTACCTTTTTTTGTAGAATATCCAAGTGAAATAATAATCTACAGTATATCATTTGACCGAATTTCGTTCTATCCACAATATACTTCTACCCGTTCCAAGTTGCATAGTGAAAGTAATTTAGAACTATCTGAAGGTATAGATTGTCTTTCGAACATGTAAGTATTTGGTTAAAACACCGCACAAGCACTTTAATTCGAAGTATTATGCTCTTTGGAAAATTAGGTAGACCAATGATTTGAATAGGCTACCATGTATGCCTACATTAGCAAATTTGCAAGCAAGACATGACATGTGTGACCAATACTCTCTTCAGCATACCATATTGACTGGCGTAAACTTGCAAAGAATGAAGTTTGTTCTGACCAGAAGGAAAGGTTTTCATTTTACGCGTCTTTGAAGTACTAAACATTCACTTGTATAGTCGATATTCATTGGCTGGTAGTTGCCCTTTGCCGTGAATTGGCAGAACTTAGAATCTATGAGCCATTGGATCGCCTAGTGTTCTACCAGCCCGCCTGGGTTCCGACCTCGATGGATGAGTGCTGCTGAATTTTTCCGAATTAGGCTGATGAGACGGCTGTCCAGTACTCTTAGCTGGCTTTCAACTGCCCTCCAACGGATTTCATTATGAGATGAAATCCTGAAACCTATCAAATCCCTGAAAACCAACACCTAGATATTCATTCTGTAGTATTTTTGAACTATGTTATGTAGTTTCTAAAAGCTAAGTAATCTTTTATTGTGATGTGGTTCAGTCCAATTGTAGCAGATACATATTAGTCTATAATTTGTCTTACCGCTTAGTCAACTGAAGATAGTGTACAAAGAGAAGGCCCTATTGTATAACCAACATCCAAATCTAAAATTAGAATTACTACATTAGAAAAGAAATTTAAAGGTAAACAAACCCTTTTTTCTAATTTTAACTCCGGAAGGCGTCTGAATACCTTTCAGATATCGTCAGTCGGATGACTGACAACGGATTTGATGTTTCTCAGTACTATGGGCTTATTTCTGAGTTAGTCTTTGTTAATGCAAAGTCAAAATCTTAGAGATTTTGTTTGGATAACTTGGAGGAAATTTGATTATTGTCCTACCTAGTTTTTATACGAACTGATTCATATGTCAAGTAGGTATGATAGATGACATTTATTTGACATATGTATTTAAGCGGTGGAATTCTCTCCTACGTGCCTAGATGAGCACAAGTATGGGTACTTCTATAACTCTATCATACAGATGGACTATAGGCTGTGTAAAGAATAGCAAAGCCGTACAGATGTTGTACAACTCAGTACGTTTTAACAATGCAAAATGTCTGCTGCAATTTCTAAACCAAAGACCGTAGTACGTGGAAGGATATATTCCGTTTTGATGAATAAGACAACTGCACAGACAACTCCACAATTTCAGCTGTAATATAAGCAATCAACAAACGAGACTATTCTCTGAAAGTTTGTGAAACATCAGTGATACGCCTTTATTGCAATCATTAGTCTGTTGATTCAATAGAGCTAATAACAGATATGGTGAATTGTTACATTGTATCTTAGTTACTATGCTCTTCAATCAACTTGGAAATTTCTGTGTAGCTGTGATCTCTCTTTTCAATATTTTTTTTCGTTATAGCTTGCTTACACACAGTATTTTGGTGTAGCTACTAAATTTTCAGCTTGTGATATCAGTATACAATTGGTGGATGGTGGCTAGCAGTGGAATCCAGGATGCGCATTTCGTCCTAATTGGGACTCGTCAGCCATTGGATGTACCTGCATTTCTCAGTGAGTGATGATGTTCCCACTGAGGCTCGAACCCAGTGCCCATAGTTTCAAACGCCAAAGCGTTATCCACTAGACCACTTGGGCCGCGAGAGCCACCTCTTGTGCAACGGCTCATATATTAATTATTGAATTGAATTTTTGATTTTCCCGCCGACATGTGAACCTGAGACCGAATACTTCGGTCCAATCAATCGACGGGAAAATCAAAAATTCAATTCAATAATTAATATATGACCCGTTGCACAAGAGGTGGCTCTCGTGGCCCAAGTGGTCTAGTGGATAACGCTTTGGCGTTTGAAACTATGGGCACTGGGTTCGAGCCTCAGTGGGAACATCATCACTCACTGAGAAATGCAGGTACATCCAATGGCTGACGAGTCCCAATTAGGACGAAATGCGCATCCTGGATTCCACTGCTAGCCACCATCCACCAATTGTATACAAATCAAATCCCCAGACATCGTCGAAGCATCTGCACAAGAAGCCGACATGTCAACCTGAGACCGAACACTTCGGTCCAATCAATCGACGGGAAAATCAAAAATTCAATTCAATAATTGTGATATCAGTAGCCCAAATTTAGCAAGCCAACCATTTAAGTATTAAGTATGTCGTCCAGAAGAACAATGAGCAAATTCAAATTAAACCATCCAGTTCAGAAAACGTGACTAAGCCAAACTCTTCTCCATTATGCTTGCTCTGATATATTCCGCAAGCTATGCGTTCATAGAATACTTTCATATTAAACAAGACAAGATTGGTTTCTGCCTAATCTACGTTTCAGTTCAATAGAAGCAAGGCAAACTAGTCACTTGCTGGCGTGAAAGTAAACACCGGATATGGAAGGTCTGGTTAATCTGTGAAATTTCAGTACTTTACAACTCCATGAAAGCAACTATATGTACAGTGAAGCACTTTCCGAAAAATCCTTCAGATAAGCCAGAAACTACTACAGATAAAATATATATATATATAAATAATTTAATTTAAAAATAGACTAATCCAAGAGAAACTCACCTCGCTTCCCAACTCCTCTGAAAATACACTGTATATAAATTCACGCAAAAAGTTGTCCAACTCTGAGCCTTCAATGTAACCGTTACCTTGATGAGTAGTTTTCAATACACAAAGAATAAAAAAAGAGAATCAATTTTCTTTATTATTAATTTAGGAAATATAATAAACTTCAATGTGTCTTAATTCATTAATTATGTGTTTCATTATCTGTGTAGACGAAAGCTGTCACTGGTAAATTTTAAATAGAAAAGTTTAAAAGAAACGCACACACACGGACAGTATTAGTGTCATTTTTTACATAAATGAGCTGGTGTACCGTCAAATGCTTCATCAACTCTTCAAAGTAACTTGATTTTGTAAGCTTATACCACATATTATTAGTACGTAATTTCTAGTTTTATCCTTTTAGCTAGTGGGTAGTTTTGGTCATTTCTTAGGGATTTTATAACAAAATGATTTGTCAAACCCTATTGAGTGTTTGAAATAGTAACAAATTACTGAATATCCATTTCATAAAAGTGAATAGCAGTCGATTTTTTAGTAAGTTGTTAAGGTTAAAAGAAAAATGCATCGCTTAAACTGAATAGCGGCAAAGATAACATTTGAAAAAAATATCTCATTTAAAGAACTAGGTAGAAAACTGCTTTTATTTAGAAGAAATAAGCAATGGTTGAGAGTCCGGGGGGGGCGAGGGGAGAAAGACAATGGATACAGTTCTTTCCTGAAGTGAAGTTACGTTGAAAACAAATGCAGGAGACTTTATCTTCACTGTGTATGTTCGCAGAATGCGTTTAACTCTAGAGAGACTAGATGGAACCTTATGAGAAATGATGGCGTGTCACGAGAAGCATTCTCAACACACTACTACAGACTTCTACTGACATCTGCCTTGAATGGTTCCATACTGAAAATCAGATGGCCGATGGAAAGAATTAGCAACAAGAAACTGTGGGATCAAACTAACCAAGAACCTATTGCTTAAGAAATATTCCAGACAAATTCAAGATGGATTTGGCAAGTGCTGAGGAGATCGTCTAATTATATTGTGCACCATACCATTTCTCTAGTGGAATCCGGATAAGAAACGACGAGTACGGTGTGATTTGAGTGTTCTAATGAGGATATTATGCAGGGAGAAGATGAGAGACTGTGAGCGATCGTGTGGCCGGTTAAAGAGGACGAAGTGGGTGTGTGCTATTGAAGCCCTATGTTGCATTCAGAAACCAATGGGACAATAACATAATAATCTTGGAAAATGAGGAAAGATAAACCTCCCTATGCACTAGATGAGCTAGTATTGAGCTTCATATCTATACAGAAAAATGATACCTGAGGAGGTGACATCAGGTTCCATGTGTTCATTTAAAACTAAGAATACAAAAATATGTAGTAGACAACATAAGAATTGTGTAATGTCCATCTGAGCTACAAATTTTCAGCATTCATATCAAAATGTGGATGGGATATTTTGTAGTAGTATGCAGTTGGGGAAAAATAATCTGAATTGTTTACAGTGATTACCCCACGGCCTGTATAAAAAGTGCTTCCCAGTATAATGCTACAGTGCTTTATCTTAGATTGCAGGAAGTCTAGTTGTCTGGACAGGTTTCATATTTCCTTTTCCCAGATGAATTTTACTCCACAGTGCCTTGTAATAAGCATATCGAGGACAAAATCAATACTTGTACGATTCGTAAGCAGGATAAACATTTCATATATATACCAGCAACGGAACAACAGTTTATTATTACTGTTCCCTTGGATTCCCAGTGGAACATAGGGCTTCAACTGCACGTCTCCACTTGCCACTTCTGTTTTCCTTCTGCTGTACTTTTCACCTCCATTCATCTTAGTCCATACTGTTTCAACTCCTCTTCACACGATCTCCTCCATGTCACCCTTGCACTGACGTCCCAGTCGCCGCTTCCCTTTCGGGTTCCACTCGAGAAATGGCCTGGTGCGCGCGCGATGTCACCCAGCGACCTCCTTAGCGATTGTCCAATCCACCTCCACTTTCTCCTGCATATTTGTTGGTTGGCGATTGGCTCTTGTTTTGTTTGTTTGTTTGTTCCCATAGTTTCTTGTCGGTGATTCTTTCCGGCCCAGTCATCTGATCTTCAGTATAGAGAGAAGATAGTTGTTGATAAAGGTCTGATCTTCAACAGGCTGTTGGAAATATTCTCTGTGACCCGCCAAGTTACTGATCCGTATAGAAGAACTGACTAACTTGACGTTTGTATTGAAACTCCTACCGGATTTCGTTGTTGATGCTGGCTGAGTGACGAAGATTTCCAGATTGGTTTCAGGTTGACGAGTGAATGTGTTCCTCGCCTTCCCAATTCTCGCTCGATTTGACATCCTCGTCCGTTCCGACTTCCTGTAGTTGAGACAATGCTCCCTAGATAAGTGAATGAAGTCACCTCTTTCAAATCCCTCCTATTGATGGTGATTCGGAACAACAGTTAGCTTGCTATAATTATCTAATTAAAATATGAAATCAGTGGACTGGAATTTTTACTCAAGGGAAGTTGGATTACTGAATCTTTTATTTGAGAGTAGGTCTTCTCCTTCACATGATAATCTTCGAACCATTGTAAAAGGAATTTACAACTTGTATAAGTTGTAGAGTAATATAGCTGCTTTCACAACGTTCTCCATTACTAGGCCTCAAATGTAATGTTTAGAATTCGATTCGACGATATCAATAGGCAGCGAAATAGCATCATCGTTAGCCGGTATGTCTTTACGTATAATTCAATTTTTTAAGACTTTTGGCGATGTTAGCTTGTGATATGGCTTGCAATTCTTAGTGGCAAACAGCATTTTAGTTCATTTACACTGTTGAATAGTATAGCCTAATAATGCCCACATCATGTCTTAAACAAATATTGTTGAATGACGGGAAGATGCCATTAAAATTAAAGTGTTTGTGACTTCTTGTAATGATAAGTTCTCAGGTGTGCTGTAAAACACTAGCGATTGACTTTAAAAGACATTCAGCATCACATACGCACATAGGGACTGAAGACTAGTAAAATTACATGTATTATATTCAACTCTGCAGAGATTTATGATTAACTGTTTCATAAGCTGTGTGGGTAATATCGTTTCCTGACGTAAAGGGCTATGACTTCTTTAGTGTTTAGAATGCATTCCACACATGATTGAACAAATGTAACTCATCGGTTTATTTCATTTTCGTTTTGTCAATAATTATCATAATGAAGGGTTTTAGGTGACTCCATTTATCTGTTGTTGTCATTATTATTCCCTTTGGTTCCGAGTGGAAAATAGGACCTAAACAGCGCATATCCACTTCGTTCTATTCTCTGACTTCCTCTTTAGCCGGTCCCACGATTGTACGCAGTCTCTCGCCTCCTCCACACACGACCTCCTCCACGTCACCCCTGGACTTACGCCCATTTCGGCCTTTTCCTTTCACCTTCTCCTCGAACGGCTGGGGAGCAAACGGTCACCTAAGAGTGTGTCCGATACATCTGCATTTCCTCATAAATATTCGTTGGGTCGTTGATTATTGGTTTCTTTCTTTCCAGAGTTTCATGTTGCTAATTCTTTAAACAGCCTTTTAATATTTACCACCCAGCCGGAGAACGTAACTGTTGGTGAGTCTTCTTCAGCTTCCAGTTAGAAATGCTTCTAATAATGGGCGCGCGAAGTTTCTGACTCATATTGAAGAAGTGACTGACTTACTTCACATGTGGGTTGAAAACCCGAATCTTCTTAATTGTATTTGTTGAGTGCAGAAGATTTCCTAACTGACTTCAGTGTGATGAAAGCCTGTCTTGCCTTTCCATTACGTGCTGGCTGACTCTGACATCCTCATCCATGCCTTCCTATAGAATACTGAAGGAAGAAACCTCGTTCAAAAATTCTTCCTGTTGATGGTGGGGGTCTTTATTGTTGACCCGAAGTAATTTCTTCACTGCTTCTTCTTCTACCAGTCTGTTGGTTTTCGCCTCTAGGTTTCCAAGTTCAAGTGGCATTAAAAAGATAAACCATCTGCGAAACCATTTATCTTTGCCATTAGTAAAATGTCATCAAGCCTACCAAAGGATAAAATATCCTTACCATGCCCACGCATATCCTCTACTAAACTAGGCTTTTATAATATAGACAGAAAATGTAATCCATGATAATTGTGATGATCACAGAAACAACCTTAATTGTTGCTTAAAAGTGAAGCAGACATGAACACACTTGGACACGGAAACTCATTCACATACATCTAAAAAAATGTATGCATTTTTTGTTTTACATTAAAATGTAAAAGCAGAACAAATTTAGAAACAGTGCCTTTTTTTTCCCTCTTCTAAAGTCCATTTGTATAAATTATTATTATTATTATGATTATTCCTATTTGGCTTTTATATCTCTATCACCTTTCTCCCACTTACCATGGGATTGTTCTCATGACAAAACACATGCAACATAACCACATAGAAATGATGAATAAAAGATATAGCAGAGGTTGTTGTTGTTGTTGTTTTTGTTTTGTTTGTTTGTTTGTTTTTTTTTGCTAACCAGCATATTATATTTGGTTAGTTGGTTTATTAAAAATTCACATGGAAATTTTAAAATATATATATATATATATTTTATAAAAAGGAAGGTCGATAAGTTTCAGTGGGTTTTCTTGCTCCCTCCTTCTATCACTGCCTGTAAAAGTTAAGCCTATATTGACCACATTTATTTTTTGTCAGACGGAAGTTGGTTATTATTAGTGGTATTATTACTGCTACTATTACTATTACTATTACTATTACTACTACTACTACTGAAAAGAGGCTATTTAACATGAGAAAATCAGAAAGGTGACTACTAGAAAGCTCATCCTAAACTAAAGTGTGAGTAGAGCAACTCATTCACATTTTCTTTAAAACTTCCATTAACGATTATGGATGGCTATTGCGAGTGTTAGTTAGGCCAAACAGCTGGTTATTTGTGTTGACTAGAGATAAAAATATCAACATGATAAATAAGTGTTGAATTGGCTAACTAAATTGTCTTAAACTTCATAGAATAAAACTTTCCACAACGCCTTTCTTACACCTCAAGTTGTCAAGAC